AAGCGCACTTATTTTTCTATATTTGACAGAGGCGGCGGCTATTCCCACCAAAGCGGTGCGGTGTTACATAGATAGCAATAGACTGACAGCTACGCACAGCTCATATATCCGCATCTCGTCTCCGCACCGCTCTGCTCTTCTCCGCTCCGCTCCGCAATAGCCTGCCAGCTTGGCCACAAATCTCCTCTCGTTCCTACACCGCTCCGCTCTTCTCCGCTCCGCTCTTCTCCGCTCCGCTTTAGTGGACTTCGTACGCTAGTCTAGATTTTAGGTGCACCGTTAAGCTCAGTTTCCACCAAGGCGGAGAGGTGCGAAGCGAAGCAGAGTAGTGTTTTGAATAACCAATCAGATTCCATTATTTGCACATCTCCACTCCACCCGCTTCGCTTCAGTGGAAATGGATCGAGCGTAGAAGTGTCGAGCGCACTTATCTATACTATCTATACTAGTCTATACTAATATTATAAATGCGAAAGTAACTCTGTCTGTCTGTCTGTCTCTCTTTCACGCCTAAACCACTGAACCGATTTGGATGAAATTTGGCATAGAGGTAGTTTGAGTCCCGGCAAAGGACATAGGATAGTTTTTATCCCGGTTTTTTTAAACAAGCGACGCGCGCGATGAAGTTTTTCTGTATCAGACAAAATTCCACGCGGGCGAAGCCGCGGGCGGAAAGCTAGTTTTTCTATATTTGACAGCTGCGGCGGCCGCCAAAGCGGTGCGGAGAAGAGCGGAGCGGTGCGGTGTTTCATAGATAGCAATAGACTGACAGCTACGCACAGCTCATATATCCGCATCTCGTCTCCGCACCGCTCTGCTCTTCTCTGCTCCGCTCCGCAATAGCCTGCCAGCTTCGCCACAAATCTCCTCTCGTTTCTACACCGCTCCGCTCTTCTCCGTTCCGCTTTAGTGGACTTCGTACGCTAGTCTAGATTTTAGGTGCACCGTTAAGCTCAGTTTCCACCAAGGCGGAGAGGTGCGAAGCGGAGCAGAGTAGTGTTTTGAATAACCAATCAGATTCCATTATTTGCACAATTGCACATCTCCACTCCGCCCGTTCCGCTTCGGTGGAGATGGAGCGAGCGGAGAAGTGTCGAGCGCAATTCTTTTTCTACAGATTTTAAACAAACAACTTGAGAAAATCGAACTGCTTAAGCCGGGAATCGAACTGACGACTTGCTTGCTGGGCGACTGCTCTTCCACTAAGCTACTTAGATTTATTTAAAACTAGCTTTCCGCCCGCGGCTTCGCCCGCGTGGAATTTTGTCTGTCACAGAAAAACTTTATCGCGCCCGTCCCTGTTTCAAAAACCGGGATAAAAACTATCCTATGTCCTTTCCCGGGACTCAAACTATCTATATGCCAAATTCATCAAAATCGGTTCAGTGGTTTAGGCGTGAAAGAGAGACAGACAGACAGTTACTTTCGCATTTATAATATTACTAGTAAGATAGTATAGATTTAGTTTGAGAAGCGACTCTAATCGCTAAGAATTTTTCTACAGAATTTGATAGGGGCGCGGGGCGGAGAAGAGCGGAGAGGTGCGATGTTTCATAGATAGCAATAGACTTGGCAGCTGACAGCTACGCACAGCTCACATCGCCTCTCGTCTCCGCACCGCTCCACTCTTCTTCGTTCTTCTCCGCTCCGCTTTGGTGGAAATAGCCTGCCAGCTTCGCCACAAATCTCCTCTCGTTTCCTCACCGCTCCGCTCTTCTCCGCTCCGCTTTAGTGGAATAGCCTGCCAGCTTCGCCATACATCTCCTGTCGTCTCCGTGGAAACCGGGCTTTATTCCGCACTTTGGTAATATATTGCCCAGTCTTAAAATCTGGCTGCTAGCGAGCGTATGAACAAATTCTTCAACGAAAATTCTGGGGATACCGTAAAGCATATGCAGCGCTTTCGGAGCTTATGAGACTATAGTATAAAATTCTAAAGCAATATCCTAGATTCTTTTATACTTTATTTACATTAAGCGGTGGTCAGCGTTGCAAGCGCGGACAAACCACATGCTTACGGTATAGACCGCAAAATACTCGCCAGTTAAAGTTGCTTAATTTATTTTTAAAGCTCTTGCCTACGGCTTGGTGCACGTGTATTTTTGTCTGCCATACAAATATATAGCTTAATGTCACTTTGAAACAATCTAGCTTCCTACTGGATATTTAACTAAAAAATCATCATCATCAATCATTCCTTCCATTTCAACCTATTTCTTTAGAAACCAATTCGGAAACTTGGGTGCAACCACTGTGAACCTTAATGGTCTTGTAGCGATAGATCACGTAGGTTTTTGTTTAGGACACCTGACAAGACAGAATACTAGGTAAATCATAAGTATGATTTAAAGAAAACAAAGCCAAATCTATCAGAGAGAAAAAAAAGAAAATAAATACGTTGTCTTGCTATTGCAACTCAGACAAAAAGTTAGACGTCCAAACTAAAATGATACTAACGAAATATGGGGCATGGCATAAATCTACGGAAAACTTCTATCTAACCCTGGCCAACTATTACATCAGCCGCAGTTAGGGCGAAGCGAACGCAATGAAAAATGGATCACTCATCTATCATAAACTCTTTTCGACGGATCCTGCAAAAACTTACCGGCGACGTGAATAATGTCATGCGAAATTAAATCCTGTAGGCTAGGGCACTAGGTCCTTCGAACGTCGAAAAAAAGAATTTTCAAATGCGGTTAAAAAAGAAAAGAAAAAAGGAAAGGAATTTCTTTAAAATACTCGAAAAGTAATTTTGTTTAGTAGGTAACACGTAGTAATTTGGCAATATTTCCCATTAATCCTATTTTTTCACTTTCATGATACGAAACAGTCTATCAGGTACCTACTCTACCAAAAACTTTCGAATTATATCTTTCAAAAGAAGTTAATTCATTCTTGGTGGTTCAATAGAATGCAATGTAAGATAAATAAATAAAGCAGGATTTCATATTCTTATTATTTTTTTAAGATGTTAAAATCATCATATCGTATTTCTCAATCAAGCCCACCCATAAGAACCTCATGAGAATTAAATTGTATTTACCGCGTAGGATTTTCTTAGTGCCTCTTTTAATTATCTCATATCATAAAAAGTACAGTAGCCTATCCCCTAAACTAAAGGGCTATAAAGAACAGATGACGTGCCACACTCCGCGACAACTTTTGGTTTTCTCCGGGCTTCGTCAGCCTGAAATAGTCCAAATGCAATGATATTATATCCAGAAAGAGCCTAAATTAATATACACTCGACGTCAAATAAATCGCACCTCCCGCGACAAGCATTTTCAAACGTATGCATCGCCACTTCCCACCAATATTGGTATTTGGTACCATTTAAAAGCCTAGTTCTAACCTTCATTTCATTAAAGGAAAGGTTTGTACCCCAAAAATGTGTCTTTAGAAGGATCCAGAGTCACTTCTTCAAAAAATAGGTAGTTACGCTAGAGCCAACTTTTATGGCTATAAAACTGTTAAGTTGGGTTTAATTGCTATCCGTCTGTTAAAGAGGACACGTGAAATCATTATTTGGTTTTATAACCATAAAAATTGGTCTAATTGATCCCATAGGTGGGCCCAAAGTGAGGTATTTTTTCAAGTCACATTTATGGTATATGTTAATAAATTTATTAAGAAATTAAATGTGTTTTTCTTTAAGGATATTTATTGGGCTTTCAAATAACACCAATATTGTTGGGGTACCATGATTGTGTCAGAAGAAAATCGTTAAAGTTCGCGTCGCGGAAGGTGCGGTTTATTTGATATTGAGTATAGTTTCGACATTTTTCAGTTAGAAGAGTTATAACTATTTTTTAAAAAATCTTAATTTCGCGTTGTCCGCGGTTTGGTGTAGTGGTTCAGAACGGACTACCTACTATGCCGAGAGGTAACGGGTTCGATTCCCGGCCGGGCAGAAATTGAAATGATGAATTTTAGTTCATGTAACGGGTCTGGGTGTTTTCTATGTATAATAATAATTATGTATGTATAAATTTACAAAAAAAAGCATTTAGGTATGTTTATATCCGTCGTCTAGTACCCATAAAGCTTGTACAGCTTTGCTTAGTTTGGGACTAGAGGCGCAGTGTAAAATGTCCAAGGATATTTATATTTATTTATACATATTTATCTCTGAACCATACTTAATACCATACCCTTATGAAATCCTGAATTAAATCTGATTGGTTACACATTTCTTCACTTCTTCGTTTTGACGGGAACCGGGACGTAAAATTGCCCTGCACTTTTTTACATCCCTTTGATATCACATGAGATTTTGATATGTATGTCATTATTATAAATTACTCATACTAAATAATATTACTATGTCAGTTTAATCAGATAAATCAACGCTCCGTCAGATACCGTCACAAAACTATAAATATTGCACGAGATTACGTAGTCAATTAGTTTCATTTGCTATTAATTAGTGACGTAACAACTATCTTCAGTTCTTGGTAAAGCGTCTATGAGATGAATAAACTTGTTATTTGGCTAAGAAGGAAAATCGTATTTATTTAAGGTACATAATTAACTAATCCATTGATAGGAAGAGCTACACAGGAAAAGGCCGACCGAAAAAACTATTTCTTTCCTTAATAGGGTGTTGATAAACAAAACAATTAATTGAATTTAAATCCCTTACTGTATTTTGATTTTATTAATGATGAATTTTAATTTCTGTGTCGGGTCTGGATGTTACTATGTATAATATGTATGTATTTACAAAAAAAAAAGTATTTAAGTATGTTTATTTATATCCGTTGTCCATTTACCCATAGTACAAGCTTTGCTTAGTTTGGGACTAGAAGCGTAGTGTAAAATGTCCAAGGATATTTATTATTATTATTATTTATTATTTTTGCGCTTGGAGTAACTCATCTTTAACTACCAACTCCTCCAATTTTCTTCTGGTTTCAGGAACTTCGTTTAGGATCCATTCACAGTTATATTTTCCCCCGGGACAAACTTAGCCCTGTCCAATAGAATTTACATCCTGGCTACACCAGTAGGCCTAGGATGCGCGCCACGATCACCTTTTAACGCGCCATTTTTTTAAAGATTATTAGCAATTTGTATTGCCCAAATAACTAATAGTCGCGTTAGCCCCTCGTGTTAAGCTAAATAAGCTTGTGTTACGAGTGGGCTCACCACAATAGTCGAGCGGCGGTGGGATTCGAACCCGCGTTCCTCGGATCTCGAGTCGGCCAGTCTGACCCCTTCACCGTTCGGCTATCGTGGCTATAAAATTATATCGATTTTACGCGATAAGCTCATTCATTTATCGTCATAAATCATCGATAAGGTTTTATCACGGCGCGCAACCTAGCCCGGCTGGAACTAGAATATGGTGAGAGGTAGAAGTGAGAATGCCACCTTAGGTAACTCTACAAAATTAGAGAAGTACATATTCCTTAGGTACCTACTTTGATCTCTGATATCCAAATTTTCGATTCATCTTAAACAGATAGTATGTTATTTTCTAAAGCCTGTAAGCCTCTAAGATTTGTATTTAATGTATTAAGTAGGTACTAGTTTAGCCAAATAGCAATAATTGGCTGGTAACATGTAGGTATTCCTGAATAAACAAACATTTCAAACGTTACTTGACGAAGGCTCGTAATTAAAGGGAATACGTGAATTCCTGCCTCAGTGTCAGCGTTTAAAGTCTAACAATGTAAACAGCTGATCTAGCTTCACACTGTGATACCTTATCTAGTTGTAATAGGCGCTATTTTGGAACGAAATTGTAAAGTCTGATGTGATATTGTAGTTACCCTTGGGATTGTATTTGCTACTAGAATAAATTAGATAGAGAGAAAGCGGCTTAAAAGCGAAAGTTTATTCTAATTTCAATTTTGGTAGAATTGCTCTATAAAATAAGTTTATTGTGTGAAGGGCAGAATAAGAAATCTCTTTTAAGACAATTTTGCTAATGGGTGATTTAAGTTCTGCGTAATATTTTGTTGGTTTTATCAACGTAGTACTTATTATTATTCTGTGGTTTTATTTCGTATCGAGGTAAAACATAAACGCATCAGTTACTTTGGTTCTCATACTGCTCTCTTAATTTCACGAAAGGACACTCAACACCTCATCACTCTATTGCCTTTTGGTGACCTAGAGACTTCTAGTGGGGCACATAATAAAGGACCACGTCTCCGTTTCATACGCTATCAATGACAGTTGAGGCAAAAACTCGGAAACTGGGAAACGTAGTGTAGTGTAGGCAGGCTTTCCACAAGATCTGGTGAAGGTCGCGGGAAGCATCTGGATATGGACAGCGCAGGGCCGGCGCCTTGTGGAAATCTTTTAGGAGGTCTATGCGGTCTATTCATTCGTGTCAGCTAAATGATGTTCACAGCTGGACAAAGATTATTCCCAAGGATTTCCACAATGCTGATGATGATTATTATTCTATTGTCCACTGACCTTGTCTCGCAGCATGTCCCGCACCCTGGTGGCCTGGTGCCGGCTGCGGTGCAACTCCAGCTGCAGTTCCAGGCAGCGCTCCTGCCAGTTCACGGCCGCGTCCGCCGCCGCCAGCTCGTACTCCAAGGGGTCCAGGCGGGAGGAGTGGGCGATCGGTCTGGAGAAGAAAAAAACATCAATTAAATGTTGTGGAAGAAGGATGCGGGACTATTCCCACCTCTCGTTCCCACCGCTGCAACTCCTGTGTAGCAAGGTACAGCTTGACCTCCATAAAAACCCAACCAATGAAGGTCAAGTTTTTCCCGGGGGAAAGTTAAACTGTTATTGGACCAGCAACGAAATTAATCAGAAGAACATAGGAGTTCGAAGTTAAGGTTCGACTTCCCTCCGTTGCAAAGCGGATGGCAAAGGTATTAAACCTTTGTTTGTCACCTGTCATCATCATAATTTAAACCTTTAAGAAAAGATATGCACCACGGACAATAAATATAATTGGAAGTTAAGTGGAAGAAGGATAGTGTGAAATAAGTGCTATAAAATTTTGAAGGCACATTGCTCCTTAAATGTGGAATAGCAGTCCATCATAACACTTTCGAAATACAAAAACCTAATTTTGCTTTGGTGGCACGTGGCACTTCGCTCAATTGGGATGGTCTTCGCTAAAATTTAAATCTATCATTTGACTTTCGAATTCACACAAGTACCTATGCTTGCGGTAGATGTAAGTTTAAAAACAATGCACCTTTCAGTGATTACTTACAAATTGCAACGTCTGAAGCCACTGAAGTATGCATACATGAAACCCCTTATTAATCCATCACAAACTTATTAAACTCAAAAAGTCATACAACTCGTCTGAAATCCTTCAACCGCGTTCAGTGACTCGGGTGGAATAAACCTTGTCCCTGGGCAACCAAATACAATTACCCACGTCAATATTGAAGCATAATCTCTGTTCTTTCGTCATTTCATACAATTAAGGGTTGTTCAACCTTGACAAGTTGGACGTAATTGAAAAAAGTTCCATTTTACGGACCAATTTTGGCAGGTGTAGTGAGAGACGAACACCACATCACCACCACAGAATAATAATAATGAATCATACTCATACTCGTAATGTAATCTTATTGAATTAGCAGCAGCATTGAAAGCAGTAGTTTTGACAGGTGACAAAAAAAACTTTTAATTTCAGAAAACTGTGCATGTTTTGCTACAAAAAAAAAATGTGGAATTTATAAATATTTTCTTGAAACAAAATAGCCTAACTACTAAAGAGGAGAATTGGAGCCTTAAATAACATATAATTTTAACACGGATGATACGGATAAGCGTTACAGGTTGGAACAAAAGCTCCAATATGAGACTATGTTTGCCATCTAGGAATTAAACCCATAGGACCTCCAGGAATTCCCATAACCACTAGACTAGGTCAAGGGTAATTGAATCTGACTCGAAAGTTGTAATTTCTCACATACAGCAGTAATTTTCACACCCATCTCAAAAATCGAGCTTTTACGCGTTAATCCATGATCAAGCCATAAATATCATTTTATCAGCTGACACCTATTCAATGACCATAAAGCCTTAATATCGATGATACATTGTGAAGTAGACACATTAACACTGTCAATGTAATAAATTGAAATCGTAAAATACGCGGGCTTGCTTCAAAAATGCATCGAAGCCGCTACAACGTTCCACCATAAATATTCTATACAGTTCATTAATTTAAATTCACAATATTCGTCTACGGTATGCTTTTAAAAGCCTGTCATGGACGGTACGACTGGTACAATGCAAGACGACGTATTTATATCTTTCAGAATGACACACATGTGTCATGTGTTTGAAAAATGATCCTATAACAGATGTAACTGAAGATTGAACATTGACAGCTTTGACCATCAAAGTCTTGAAAACAGAAAGAGGGCTCGGTCACGGTATAACTTGTGGTATAACCACTATTGGAGACGGATAGAAAAATATTTCAGGGCACTGATAAACACCGTTTGCCAAGAGAAAAGACTTGGGCAAAAGTTCATAGCAAAAAAAATAGAGAACCGCCAGCAAGGAAAAAGTATAATATAATTTATTAATTAAACTTCTATTTCTTATAAAAACAATTATTGAAGTTGAAGCATAGTATCTGTACAGAGTAGTCTGTGCGTCAACAGCACTCTTTATTCATAGTTCAGCAAGCCCCGGTTTTGCCGCGTCAGCCCACTTCAAATGCAAGCTTATTAATTAAATTTCAATAATTAGTATGCCACTTTGCACAATGCAACCAATATATTGTTAAAATCCACCAATCACGCAGCAGTCAGACCCCACATACATGTCCCATCCATCCCCGCATCCTATGCGGCGGGACATATATGTGGATGGCGGGACATCCACATATATGTCCCGCCATCTAGCGGATCTTTCATTCGCGAAAACCCTCATTGATAAGCAATGATTTGACTAAAAAACAATTGCAAATCATTTATTGTATTTGAGATCCAAAGCCCAACTTTAAACCCTCTTTGCTTTGGATATATGAATATCCATAGCCACAAGATTAAGGTAAATTAATCTTATTATTACAACAATTCAAGCTAAACACCGTAGCATTGGTAGAAGTAGCACATTTTAAGGTAGCTACTTAACGAATTTATACCAAAGAAAACTTAATTCAACATACACGATCATTAACTTACCATCAATTTACTGCTTGTTATTGTATTCACCCAGTAAATTGTTGTTTGATATAAATTCGGCAAGGCCATTAATTATATTTTACGGAATGCCCATTTTCATTTAAAACCCAATATACTTGGCCATTCATTGCACACGGCTTAACCGTGGCCCGCTACATGTTGGATTAACCCTACACAATTGAGGGATTATTAATTTTCAATAATTAATTCGGACGGTCGAATGTACCATTGGTTTTGCGATAGAGAAATTAAACCAATTTATGGGGACTTTAGTCCCGAAATTTTATTGCAATTTGGTAGAAATGTTTCAAATGTAGGTGAAAGTTTGAAAATATTATCTAGGTTTATGAATAATTTATTCACCAAATGACAAGGACAGTAAAATAATGTAATTTTGAGTAGTGATAGTAAGTAGATAATAAATACAAGCATTTGTTTACTAATAAGTAGGTAAAATATGTTTAAACAAAAAAGTATTTCAGTATGTTTAACCCGTTCACTGGTACTCATAGTACAAGCTTTGCTTAGTTTGGGACTAAATGAAAATTCACAAAATGTCCCAGAATTTATTTTCTTACTTTTGAGTTAATTAAATCAAAGTTATGTTACTAAATCAATATTGATAAGCTACGAAAACGTTACATTAAGTTCTATACAGCCTGGCATCTACTAAATCAATAGTAGGTATTGCTGTGGTATTGTAATAAGATCCTATTATAATAATGTGTATCCTATCATTATGATAATCCTGATCGAAGTGGCATGCCATTGTAGTGTGCATAATTCAACTCGCAAGCAATATGTTCTATTAATTGGATGGAAGTGCAGCCCGATCAATTAACTGTTTAACAGCATGTTAACTGACGGTTTCAATATAAACTGGTTTATGTCACCGGGCCTATAGTTAGGTCAAAGTTTTGATTGAAAAGGAGAGGGTATGTTGTAAACACAGAAGTGTCAGTCAAATTGCCATTTATGTAATAAATAGGTACTCTAATCAACACGCACGGTATTATGAAAGTAATGACCTGTGACAAGTCACTCGTTCGTTCGTTTCAGCCGAAAGACGTCCACCTCCTCCAAGGTTTTACTTTCAAATAATAAAAAAATCCTCGTCTTCTAACGTGTGGGTTTTAAGAAGTTAAGTTAAGTTTTGCAATCCTGGTTGTAATATTTTTTAGCGTTAGGAGTCGCATCTCAAACTAATTTGAAAATTATAAATAACTTGAAAAAATCGAACTGCCTAAGGCGGGAATTGAACCCACGACCTTCCGCTTGCCGGGCGACTGCTCTTCCAATTCAAAACTGCAGTTCGATTTTTTTCAAGTTATTTTTATTTTGCAATCCTGGTATCAGATTATTCACAATTTACACAATTGGTTGTTAAGAGCCAGGAGTTGCGACCCATCCAAACTACCTAGATAGTGTAATTTATTACGTGCTTCCCTTGGGAAACAAACTAAGGCCTAGATTGAAAGATTTCAGCTGTTTAACCACTACAATTACGGAGTGAAGAACCAATAGTTAGTCTTCGTTACTTATTTAATTACCTACTTTACTGTTTCACACAATACCTTACATTGCGTCATAACAAATCACGATCGGACTGTATACAGGGTGGAAACGATAAGTGATCTCACTCGATTGTTTCTAACTAAACAAGATATCGTAAAACTGGTTACTGATCCTAAAAGTGCTTCACGAGCTCTATCCAACGGTATCAATAATAGGTTACAGAATAAACTGGATCTATCCAAAAATTCAATCAACTTTTAGGCAGTAATACTTAGTTTAGAAATAATTGAATCAGATCACTTGTTGTTTCCACCCTATATAACGATAGATTAAAACTATTTCTTAATATAAATCTTGTAACTGCAGCCTTAAAAGTATTAACGTGGTTAAACCGTCTTATGCCATATCAAACTCAATAATAATTATCTTGACAAACATACCTCTACAATAACACTGTTACTCCGTACATTCTTCTGACATCATGTAACTAATTTGGGAAACGAGCTAATCATCCTCATACTTAAAAACATTTCAAGTTAAAAGTATGCAAATTATCTACACGCTTATCGTGGCTTCGAAAACCTATTAGTCACCGATAAAATTGACTGGACAAATGGACAAGAATTATTCTTACACTTAAGATTGCAAAATAGAATTTTAGGTGATATTTGTGAGGATTCCTGTATTTATTATGCTATCATGTACCTATTTAGCATTATAAACATGATTTTTACTTGAAAAAGTCGACCTTCTCACATGCTGCTTGTTTTGCTGTTAAGCTATGCAACATTAATAAAGTTGTAAAAACCGATAGAGAATGCATTACTTGATTACTATTGGGTTTGAGTATGATTCGGTATATAAGATTTTAAACTTTCGCGTTCCATTTCAATTAAAAGTCAATGTAACTCATTAATGAACGTCGCGTTAAGACCCGTGTCTTACTATTTTAATTAATTTGGGATAGTCTACTTTCAAATTAAAAACCATATTTTAATTGTAAAAACTGCACAAGATAACGGTGAAATCGTAGTTTCCAAAACCCAAGTCATTGTTTAAAAAAAAAAGAAAACAAACAATAGCTTTGCGGAGATCGAACCCTCAACCACTACCTTCAGTCAACGTCACAATCCACTCAACCATACCATCATCACGCGCTATTGACGATCAACGAGCTAGTTCGCAACAACTTACCTAGGTGGCGGTGGTGGCGGCTCCCTCGACCGCCTCGGCATCAGCCGCGGGCTGTTCGGCGTACTGGCCGAGTGACCAGCCCCGCTCAGGTCGGTGAACCTCGCCAGAGGGTCGAAGATCTGCGACAACCGCCTCGACCGCTCCTCAGACATTATAACACTTAACACTACACAACACTAACAAATATATCACATCACGACACCACAGTGTCACAGTTAAATCACAACTGAACTATTTCGATTTTGGAACACACTCCGCGCCTACGCCCGGTAGATGTCGCGCGCTCTGACGTTTCTTTTGGCGCGCTAACGACGCGGCGGCCATATTGTGATTTTCACAGCTTTGCGCGCGCCGTTTTTAGAACGCTGAAAAAGAAAAACAAAGGTTAGACGAGTAGGTGAGAGATTAGGCAAGGTGAGGCAATTAGTCGCCAATAGGACGGAATAGCTTTGGACGCGACAAAATTAATGTCAACACAAAAGCGGCGTCTAACGGAAGTCTATTTGAGTAGTGTTGACAGCTCTAAGAAAAGAAGTTACTTTAAACGGGGCGTGGTTTTGTATAGGATTTCATGACTTCTTTGTGGCCATTATGTAAATGAGTCGTTTTAAAAGGATTATTAACAAAAGCCGCTAGGTTTTTAGTGTTGTAAAGGCACATTTTCATACAAATAACTTCAAAATGAAAATTAATACAGCTCATTCCTTACAAAATAAAAAATAAAAACACAACGTTTTACTGATGTGGACAGCGAATGACTTAATAAAAAACAACTGAATTTCAGTATCAAAACATAATAAGAAAGCAGTATTTCGTTTAATATAACAACAAAGTGACAATATAATTAACAATAAAACCGTTTACAATCACCGCCAAAGTTTTAATAACTCCTACTCAGCCGTAAAACTATTTTGGAGTACATTAACGACTTTTGGCTGGGGATAGGGTTGCCAGATCTAACATCTTTGAAAAATCGTAGATTTTCTAAAATATTTCCCAGATAAGCTGACTTTAAAGTATTACCTATTTGGAATTTGATAAAATAAAGTAAAAAGTAAAAATCACAATGAATGTCAATACTCATACATTTTTTATTAGTTAGACTGGGTTGCACCATCTTACTTTAACTTTAAAAACGTCAAAAATCTGTCAAACTCCATACAAAAAACACCGGTTATAGTTATGGTTAAAGTAAGTTAGTGTAATAAATTCAGCCTTGGTATTTACTTTTGAATGGACGAGTCATTATCTAAATACTGACATCTTATGTAGTTCTAATAGGTACGATTCAGCAACAGAAATGTGACAGTACCTTTTTACCTGACTTAGTAATTAGTGACAACCCTGTATTATACCAATTTGGTGGGTAAATCACAACTTTTCGGAGAGTTAGCTTACCGGATGTTCTAAACAGATGATCGTTAACCGAAATCGAGTTTTATTGTCTATGGCAATAAAAATGTAATCTACGATTCCCATTTATAGCTTGTTTCTACCACTGTTCTTAATGTTAAAGAAGTTTTCATATAGTTTTATTTAAATTTCTTAGATTTACGAGTATAACTCGCTTTATAGCTGTTATGGTGACTCCTATTAAAATGTCTCAGAACCAATACAATAAAGGGAGTTCATCAAATCAATATACTGTGATTTTTTACCCGACTGACAAGAAAGGGTTATGTTTTTCTATAGTTTTGGCTGTGCCTTGATAAGTTAGTCAACCAGTAAAAAAACTACTTTACGTGAATAAATATAATTCTACTGCGGAGATGATTGGACATTTTATGTTCTTTGAATACTCTTTTTCAGTTAGTTAATTTATTATCACCGGAACTACAACGCATTTAAGCTTCCCAAAAGATAAAAGCAAACTGCAAACGAGTTCTATAAACACTTATTTCTAACTAGCTCTTGCCTGCGGCTTTGCTCGCGTAAAATTTTATCTGTCAAAGAAATACTGTTTCAAAAACCGGGATAAAACCTATCCTATGTCCATTTCCGGGACTCAAATTATCTCTTTGCCAAAGTTCATCAAAATTGTTTCAGTGGTTCAGGTGTAAAAGTGTGACAGACAAAGTTACTTTCGCATTTATAATATTAGTAGGGAAGTAGGTAATAATTCATCTAACGAGACCATACGTATCATACAGAGCCATCCATCAAAAGGAACGTCTTTACAAATCTTCGCGGTGTTCACGCTTACATAAAACCGACACTAATGATAACTACAGAGTGTCTTCTTCCGCAATTTGCTAGTGATGTTTTTTAATCAGTCGTAATATCGATATTATTCAGACTGTTGTCAGTGTAAATCACCTGTAAAACCTCTGGCGAAGAGTCGCCTAAATGCAAGTCGAAGCGACAATGTTTAACACCGTGAGTAGTTCAAGGTCTGAATTCAAATTCGGAGCATAGGACTTGTCAATTGGTAAAATATCTCAGATCAAGATTTAATAAATCTTCATAATAATTTTCTAGAGGATAAGTACCTAATTTAGTTGTGCTAATGTTCGTAGAGCTGACCACGAAATTAGTCAGTCTTCTCTTTATTTTTGGAAAGTAGTTCACATGCTAGCAAATAAGCTACAAACAAAAAATCCACACATTTATTCCATTTACAATAATCAATTTTCGATATCAAACATCGATACTTCATTCCCAACACTAATTTACATCAAAACACGAAACTTTGCCGCACCATTATGTTAATAAGCATCTAAATCATTACGTTTCAAAGGACAGAAATATCGAAACCTGACGGGAAATGGCGTAAATGAGAGTCAGCACCGATAAATAAAAACACCAGTGGAGCATACAGCTGTTTGATATTTCAAATTAGATCGCTAGAGGAGTTTGCTTCTCAAATTACTTCTGAATTCTCGGTAAAGGGTTTCACAACTGTTCCCTCCTGAATATCAAGCAGATCAGAAGATAATGTTGTTTTAAAATATTGACTATGTTATTAAAAAAACATCTGAAAATCCATGTTCTAAGTTGGAAATTCACGTCCGAAAAACTATTCCTACAAGGGATTAAATAGACAACGACGATCAGCCACGATTGTAAGTAATATCAGTTACAGTTTAAGAAAAGTTTACAGATCATCATCATCATCATTTCAGCCACAGGACGTCCACTGCATACGCCTCACCCAATGATTTCCACATCGACCAACTATCAAGATCTATCAACCGGGCGATTTGGAAAATACTTACAGATATTAAATATATGCCCTTTTGGGAACACTTATTCACATCCCAAATGTAGCTTGCCATACCAGAACATCATACCAACATCAGCTAATGCTGAGAAGTGTTGAAAGAAGATATGATTTAGCATTCAATTTTCAACAAAGGCAATCACAATTCATACTGGTTTTCAAACAAAACGAAACTAGTTTACATTGGATACGTTCACAAACAAATAGGGTTTGAAAAGCCCGATTATTTACAATCAAAACAAATTTTCAAACAGCAGCCATTTTCTATTGAATTCTTGTCGACACAAAAAATTTCAACGCTGAAATTGGGAAGTGGAATTTGAATGCCCATTTTGTTTTTCATTTCTATACGCACAAGCACATATCCAAAACGTACGTGAACAAGTGAACGGAATAAGCAAAGATATTCAAACAATAGGAAATGTAACTAAGGCTGGGTTGCACCATCTTCTTTTAACTTTAACAAACGTCAAAAATCTGTCATGCCCCATAAAAAATACCGGTTATGGTTATAGTGACGGTTAAAATAAGATGGTGCAACTAAACCTAAGTGATCTACGTCTAAAGCTTTTTGAAGTTTTTGTCATCGCTTTAACGATATCTTTTTTAAACTATGGAAGCAATTTTATTGCTGTAGAAGTTTAACATTCAAAGTTTCTATCATCTATAATGCAGGTTCGTTACAAAAACTGAGATTACAATTTTGTTGTTTAACTTTATGACTGCCTGACATTGCTCTATCTTCAGGTTCCGATGAATGGAAAACTCACTTTCAGACGTTCAGACTCATAAGTCTGTAATGTCTGCTAAGAGGACCAAAAGTGCGAAAAAATTAAATGTAATCAAAGTCTGTATGCATCTAAAACTGAAGCTATGAAAACTCATTGATCAGTCTGTCATCATAGAGTAATAAAAAATCTTTTACAAAAGGTTTCTTCTATGTTTTTACACGTATCCCACTAGCGTATTTCAAAGCGGCTTTTATTTCTTTTGGTGCCAGTATTGAATAAAAAGTAGTATTTCAAATAACCGATATAACAGATAAATGCTTCATCCGTTCGCTGTGCGCTTTAAAAGGAATAAAATAAAGTTAAAACTGTAAAAGCAGAACAAATTGCATCCTTTATTGCGAGGTCAGGTCTTTGATGGCAAATGAAAATATGATATATGGAACACAACTGTGGAGGAGCATGAAATGAGAACTGGAATGAAAAGGCAATTAGTGTGGAAGACGGGTTAGGAAAAAAGTTTTAAATATCTTGTTATGAAGCTGTGGATACGAAAACAGTTTGTTCAGGAATGGCAATGTATTGATATTACTATACCCCTACCTATAGTAATATTTGTGACAGCTTTGAAAGATGAACTCGTCGTTCTTTGTTAACTTTTTCATTTCGTGAAGCGATCGCGAAATTGAACCTGTCACGAACACGAATGTTACTTTATCTAAGTAGGGGACAACTCCTTACTTAGGTACGTCTCTAGAAAAATAGTAGCTGCTCTAATACTCTATTTTTCAATAGATTTACTTTTGGTTCTATTTCTTCAATCTTTGGACTCTGCACATCAAAATAAGTAACAAACTTTCATCACACATTTCTTCACTTTCATTTCTCTAGCAAGATTCAAACCTTATACCTCGCTGTGGTTGAGCAAGGCAGCTTTTTGATACAATATAAAACCAAACCTTTCAAAAGAGATTTGATCTCCAACGTAAAGCAAAACCTTCACCAAGTCAGGAAATCCAAACATTTGAAAATACTATCCATATTGAACAAAACATCCCAAAGCGTCCCTAACTTAAGCCAAGTTGGGGTAGCTTAGAATTTCAATCAACTTATACAGGCTGTAGTAGACAGGTTGCCGAAAACTTTAACTGAGAGTTCAGATTACGTTTTGGTTGATAAACAGCGAAAATTTCCTCCTGAAGAACACGTTTTCCTCTTATTACTCGACTGCACCAGAAGGTGGGTTATGTTTTTATATTAATTTTTAATAATTTATATTGGTAGTTTTGGTACCTTTTCTCCTTAGTGACATTTGCCAATAAAATCTGGGTATTCTCGGGATTAAGATTTTCTTTTTACGTGTACCTATTTCTTCGAACTACCTGGTTCGAGTTAAATTCACGCTTTCAAA